ATGCCTAAGGTCATTCTGCTATTATTACCTTGTAGGAGAAGAATTAAACCAATTCATCTAAATTCAAGTCCTAGGTTCTTTCAGAATATAAACCTTCCTTAATTGGAGTCCTATTACTTTGTAATTCATATTCTTTCAGCCAAGAGTTTTGTAAATTAGGAGGCATGGTACTCAAGAATGAGTTTTCTTGCAAAAGGCCCCTATTGAGCCAAACTAGTCAGCCTGTGTGTTTCTACATGTGCTTTTGACAAAATGTAGTTGCATTGAACATGGAAGCCAGGATCCTAGTGACATGGCTCTCTTGAGCCCCACAGTGAATCTGTTGCTTGGAGAGTGAACTAATGTGTTGAGCTATTACTCATAAATTAGCATTCTCTGCTTGGGTTACCAATGAATTTTTGCTTCCAGAAAACACATGCCTTGGTTAAGCTCAGGGACCACCTCTTCAGGTATGTGTCTCTAGATGTTTCCAATAAACTAATTTGTCTGACATCTTTTGAGCTTACTTGTCCTTTTTAAAAATATATATATTTTTATTGTGATTTGGGTGAGAGTTTACAGAGCAAATTCACTTACCATTCAGCAGCTCACATAGACTTTGTCTCATGATCTGGACTACAATTTACCACAATGCAACAGCTCCCCTCCCACTTCCTCCCCATAGTTACCTCTTCATTGTGTCCTTCCCTCCCATGAACACCTGCCCCCGCAAGCTGTCTTCTTATGCATACACAGCCCTTCTTTTCTCCCATGAGTGATCTCTCCAAGGAGTATATCTACCTAATGTAAAGGTTTAGCTCATATGCCTGTCTTTTGTTTGGCTGGAAGCCACAGGAGAGGGTTCAATTCCAGACCATGGCAAATAGGGGCCATAGTCTCAGTGGTTCCACCTGGTCCTTTTTTTTGTTATTATTAATGATGTTGAGTTTTATTCCACATTATTCTCCCACTCTATCCAGGATCACCTACATAGATCCCTCTCCTAGTAGTTGACAATAGTAGTTGGGCACCATCTAGTTCTTCTGGTCTCATAGTCATATAGGCTGAGGATCGCATGGTGTACCAGTCACTTGGACTAATTGTTTCCATGTGTCTTTGGTTTTCTTCATTCTTCTTTGCTCTGAATAAGGAGAGACCCATCATTGGATCTAGATGGCCACTTGCAAGCTTCTAAAATTCTAGTTGCTACTCTCCAAAGTAGGATTTGGAACAATGTTTTTGTGTAGTATGTTATGCCAATTGAGCTTGATGCCCCCTGCAACTATGATCCTGAGCCCACAAGTCCAGCTACTCACTCCCTGTAAGTAGCTGGCCGTGGCCAAGAAGTGACTACAACTTCGTCCCTTGTCAGCTCTACTATTACCTGGGAATTCTTACAGAATATGCAAATACACTTGTAGAAACATTGTCTGCCAACCCTATACATGGTCATGGGCACACTCCTCCCTGCACAGACATATCTAATAGTTCAGCCTGTCCACCCATCTATCCACCCGTAGATCCATGTTTGCCTTCACTGACAATGCAGTACTCTATGTGCAAAAGGGTTCATCTCTGTTGTCTGTACCTCTTATGCCCCTCTGTATGTCTTCCTCTTCCTCAATGCCACCATGTTGATCACTCACATTCTGTACATTGCCCTTCTCTTCACTGAAATCAATACTTTGAGCTTACCTGTCCTGCTGTCACTTGTGATGCCAAGAGCTGAGTCTAAAATGTCAAACTAAGTCTTGAGGGCCTCAAATAAGGGATGTAGTAAATGTACGTTGCCTCTGGACCCTATTTTGATGAACACAGCTGAAAATGACTCCTTCAAGGACCCAGATCCAGCAGATTTTATACTAGATTCTTTACAAATTAGAAGAATGTCCAAGCTTTCATTTGCCTGAGGGAATTGTGTTCTTTGTTGGCTTTTGTACTTTGTATGCACCTACCATAAAATTTGGAGATATCTCAAAAGGCATGAAGTGATGGGGGGCAATTCTGAAGCTCTGGTCTGTATTCTAGAGCTGTGTCTCAAGGCCACTTCCACTCCAGGCCATCAACCCTTCAGAGGGATGCTTGACTAATAAGTACTACATAATGCCCCTACTGCCAGGGTTATGCCAAGGTAGTATTGGGAGGGATATCAGCCACCTGGGCTGGTAATGGGACTGGATTCAGAGAGCCAGGATAAATTAAGTTAGAACATTCCACGGAGTAGACTCCCCAAATGGTGCAAAAAGTTATGTGCTTGACTGTTCACTGAAAGCCTGTACGTTCAACTTCACTCAGAAATGCCTTGAAAGAAAACTCTGGTGGTCTACTTCCAAAAATTCAACCACTGAAAACCCCCTGGAGCACAGTTCTGCTCTGATACACATGAGGTTAGCATGAGTGAGCATCGACACATCACCAACTGGTTTATCATACAAAGTGATCAGGAGTGGTCCAGAGGATGGGCATAGACCATATTTGTGCAGAAGAGTCAAAGTCTGTAGCAAACAATAAAGGATAAGGACAAAGACCTAGGTGTAGGAAGCAGATAGAAGAAATGCAGAGAGAAAAAATGCTAGTTTCTTACCATTTGTGTCACATGGAACAGGAAACAAAGGGCGCCATATTTGTGTGTCTGGTTCTTGGTGTGGTGAGGCTCTGAAGCACGCCACCGTATATTAAAGTATGGCCCAATCACACAGATGACTATTTTTCTCCTCCTGGGGAAGAAGTCAAGCAGGGCAGGAGCTCACCTTCCAACCTTGCAAGTAATTAAATCTGGCAGATATTGGCAAAATATGTATCCAAGTGATTTATATGTGTACACAGACATACATTAAATTGCTGTTGCCCATTAATTGATAGAAATCTATTTAAAAGATGAGCCCTGTATATTGTTTTAAAAATGATACAATCAATGATTCAAATATATGGGACCCTCTGCTCTGAGGACTGGGATTAACAATTACCAATTCCTATTACATTCCTTATCATCAGAGAGGTTCCCCATTAAATTAATTTCTATTTTTGATACTATCTACTCTAGGGAAAGCATATGGGAACTTTAATGCTTCAAACAATCTGTAAATTACAAATGC